ACGTACCGGTGAATACTGGGCCACTTCAAGCACTGACTGTGACTCTGAATAAGAATATTCACACATTGACACACACGCCTCTTTTTTGTTAGAACTAAGGATGTACAGAGGTGTTCTACATTTTAGTAGTATTTATTAAGTATACTTTTTAAGTATGAAAAACATTGTTATTTTATATCACTACCTGTTTTTGAAGCATATCATATGGTGTGGCATCTATTTTTGATTATTTTGTGTGATTGTTACAACTTACCCCAGCATGTGTTACAACCTACCCCGCTATTGGGGTAGGTTGTAACAAGGGAACACACTGCATTTGACATCAACTCACGAGGTCTGTGATATTTCAGGACTGAATTGTATAAAAGTTTGAGAACTCAAAATTCAGTGAGTTATAGTTACTGAAGCAAAAAGTGTTACAACCATACCCGGTCTCCCCTACATTTCACATATATGGTCAAATGCAACTGCTATGTTCTAAATGCTTTTTGCTAAAGACTCCTTTAAAGCTCCTGTTGAGCTTGCTGGGGACAGTCACCTTGACTTGTGTGAAATTGTGGTCAGATCTTTTATGCAGGATGTCACAACAATATTCCTGCTCAGCCGCTACTCAAGCCAAGCATGATAATCTTGTTAGCCACACTGACCTCACGGCTAAGGTCCCTCTCAGGACTTTAAAACATGTTAATTCTCTGGCCACTTCTACCTGCACCAGGCATAAAATGCTTCTCTTTGGAATATATGCTGTATTGATTTAACAGCCTAAGAGATGCAAGGAAACCCTTCTGCTCCGTGTTAGCATTTTTCTCGGAGTGCTGCTGTGACCAACCACTTTACATGTTTTCACTTTTATGCCTCTTTATATCATTTGCAGATCAGCAGCATGAAAATACTGTTTGGTTGAAGATAACATCAGTTTTAATTTTATAAATTAAAAGTAATTAACAAACTGTACAGTGAGGTGTATCAGTGTTGCAATCACAGAAATATGGAGTATTGTGTTTTGACTGCTCTGACTTTTGGCCTGGTGTTGGAGGGCTGTGCAGTTATTCAGTGCAAAATGCAAATACGTGCACCCTTGAGTGTGAGGAGAGAAGCTTTGTCTCTCTCTGCTGGACTTTTGAATACAGGGATGTCTGAGCGTAGAAACTGGAGTAGGATGGGGACGATTCTTTAAAATCCTGCTAGCTCTGGTTCTTCACCTTCTGATGTATCCTGCAGAGACTGGCTGTAGATTGTAGAGTGGCGATTCGATGGAACACCACCATGTCTGGTCCGGGTGGATCAGGGAGGATCTGACTGCCCACCATGACAGGTAGTCAGGTAGATCATGGTGTTCAGGATGTAGATCAGCAGCCCACCATGACAGGTAGTCAGGTAGATCATGGTGTTTGGTAACACTTGGTGGCTCCGCTTTAATCTTGAGAAGCTGCAGTCTCTATTCATTCAACTTACACTGTAAATTTCCAGCTAAACTGAGGCTTATTGTTGACCCTATTCTCTCGCTTGTCAATCTCCGGTCTTCTGTGAGTTTTGCGTGCATTCCGTGCTGCTGACAACTGCATGCACGTTGAGCACCCCCATATCTCCAAAATGGCATGATCCTTGTTTCCATCGAAGCGTCGGATCTTCGACTATTTGGGGTCAGCCCTACTATATATATATATATATATATATATATATACACACACACACACACACACACACACACACACATTGGCTCCATCATTACAAACTCCTGTTGTGTGGTAAATCCACATAACTTTCCAAAAGTCCAAAATCTATAAAAAAAATATAAATAATAAAATAATATGTCCACAGATGCAAAATATTTCCAGGGTTTTTCCTGCATAGAGGAATTTTTGAAATGAGAGACCAACCACCATGCTTAACATTTTTCTTGCACAATCATTTAATGACTGAAAACAACCCACAAAAATGAAACTGCTGTTTTGCCCAACTGGAATTAATATTACACTAATGGTAAGTTATATAGTAACCTTTAGCATGATCTGAACTTATAATGAATACACACCATTAGCCCTAATCAAACCACAGTGGTGTAAAATCAGAAAAAGGTTTTATTTGTGAAACAGTAGAATTGTTGACTCAACTTATAAACTATGTTTAGGCAGACTATCCAAATACAGTGTAACCTGTAAATATATTATTATACTAACATTATACATTTTATTTAATGTTATAATATTTATTAATACACTAATTTATACTCATTAGTTCTCCAGGTTCTGGACATATTTTGTTTATCAAATGGTCTGAAATAACAAGAAAATGCATACATTTTGGTCATATGTTAACGTCTCGGGTTACGTATGTAACCCTTGTTCCCCGAGAAGGGGAACGAGACACTGCGTCGGTGACATAACTATGGGAACGCCTCCGGGCGTGGCAGGGCTGAAAACATGAATGAAACTACTCCAATCCTATTGGCGTTGCTAGAACGATAGAGTGTGACGGCGTAACTGGAGGCGTATATAAGCACGCCGGCACACCGGACACATTAGCTCTTTGCTATGAAGCAAGGCACTCCAGGCGGGGCGAGGTGTGGCCGACCGACGCAGTGTCTCGTTCCCCTTCTCGGGGAAAAAGGGTTACATACGTAACCCGAGACGTTCCCCTTTGAGGGAACTCGAACTGCTTGGTGACGACACTATGGGAATGAGAATACCCACTATTCCACGCCGAAGCCTCCCCCTCAGGGGCCAGACCCACAGTCTCCACAGGGACTGAAAGGGTGAAAGACCTGGCCCTCCGCCTGAGACAGCAGGTCCCTCCTCAGGGGGGCCTGCCATGGCGGGCCCTCGAGGAGCGATATTATGTTGACGACAACATCCACAGCCTCACCCAACAGGCCAGTAGCCCCTCGGGGCTGGTGGCCGGTGTTGTGCGTAGGTCCCCGGTGGCACCCTGTATGTAGCGCTGGCGCCCCATGACCGAAGCTGCCGCGCCGCCTCAGCGACCGCCAGCCATCGAGCCACGGGGAGAGCGCATCCGGCCGTCTTCGGAAAAGAGAGAGCCGCACGGGACCTCAGCACCCTCAGGGGCAGGGCCTCGCAATGGCCGCAAGCAGCCCCCTCGAGAGCTGCCTGGGCATGCGGCATCCCCAGACAGGAAACACACAGGGCATGAGTGTCCCCAGCCGTGATGTAGCGCGTCATGGAAAGACACACTGCCTGAACTGCTCACCAGCCATCTCTTCTGCTTCTCCTTCCAGGTAATTTTGTCTTGTGGTAGCTTTCTTCTGAGTAGTCTCAAACATGCCAGAGTGCCTGCTGAATAGAAAAAAGCTAATGTGTCCGGTGTGCCGGCGTGCTTATATACGCCTCCAGTTACGCCGTCACACGCTACCGTTCTAGTAACGCCAATAGGATTGGAGTAGTTTCATTCATGATTTCAGCCCTGCCACGCCCAGAGGCGTTCCCATAGTGTCGTCACTGACGCAGTTCGAGTTCCCTCGAAGGGGAACTCACTGCCTTTACTGTGGGTGTACCAGTCATGCTTACTGTCGTGCAAAGTCATCCCCCAAAGGCCCATTCTGAGCTAGGAAAAACCCTGATGTCAGGTTGAATGTGGGTGAAATTTTTAAAACAATGCACTACTAATATTTCCATTTGATTGAAAAATTAATTATCTTAGTTTTGCAATGTATGTGTATGTAACCGCTATAGATTTCAAATGAAGGTTCAAGGAGTATACACATATACACAGTATATGTTATATAGTCATAAATTGTGACATGATTTCATTTTTCTTTTTTACTAGACTTTAAGAAAGTAATTGATAGGGAAAATAAATGTAAATCATGATTAAAGCCAAATATTAAAAAAATGCCTCAATGATGTTGCCACTGCATAATTATAGTCTAATCAAATTCACCTGTGAAAACAGGTGAATTTACCTGTACATAGGGAGCACTGCTGTGCCACAGCAAGCACGAAGCAATCAAATCTCATTTCACATCAGAAGCCAATACTGTAGTCATAACTGTGTTTCATTGTAAAGAGATCAATTTGTGCTTATATTCTGTTGTATTTTTATTCAGAAAATTGTGAGCTTCGAATGTTTCTTTTTTCTTAATCAAAAGTGAGTTATCCATATTTATGACATTTATGCTTAGTTATTTTTTAAATAACCTTTTAGGGTTAAATATTTGAAGTACATAATGGTTTTCCAAGCTGAAATGTAAAATCCGTCATGCTCGGTATCTCTGAACTGCACTTGACTGAGATAAACTCATCTAATTTCAAGCTAACAGACTGTCAGTGTTTAGTGTTTTTATGCCTTGCAGTCTTGTCTTAGTATCATGACATGTTAGCTAACACTCCTGGAGTTGATGCAAATGAGGCACTTTGTGTTACGGGCACTTTAACCAAACATTACTGGACTGTGTGGGATTTGTTTCCAAATGCAGCTTTAGAAAGTTAACTTGTTGCGAGTTCACTGTGGGTCCCCTGTTTTCCATTAATTATAATCCTGTCAACGCTGTTCCATATGTGAGGAGAGAGGGTTGCTGCCGTCTCTGTGAGCCTCGACAGTATATACAGCCGCGGCTGGCACACTACGACTGAGGGAAGTGTGGGCCGGATACGCTCCCCATCACTGGCAGGCAAAGGCTGCATTATGCTAATGTAACAACCAGAGGAAGAGACAGAACTGGGAAAGAGTGAAACAGAGACTGAGAGGGAAGAAATGTGAACAAAAAAGAGTGTGAAAAAGAGACGAGTGCGCGTATGAAGAGAGGGAAGGAGCCGTGGTGTGAAAGTGAGTGAGAGAAGCCCCATAGTCTATACATGCGGGGGCGAACATGTTGTCATCTCCTGCATTTAAATGTCCCCCGCTCGGTCTTCTCCACTCGTCATTTGAATTGGGTCAGACAAGTGTTGGAGAACCAATTCAAATGCATTTGCAAAGAAACTGAAACCCTCTCAGAGAGATGTGGAACAGCACGAGGAAGATCCGTGTTGTTGCTAATATATCAGGTTGGCAGTCTCAGTGTTTTACAGCTAAACACTGGCCACTTTTCAGCTAACAGCATATGCATTTTCCTTTTTACATTCATTTTGACCTCTGCCCAGATATCTCACACCTGCTGATGAAGCCATGCTGGAGAACTGAACAGACTTGGAATTTAATAATGGCACCATCAGGCACCATGAGTCACAGATTGCTACTGTAAGTACCTTCATGAAATGCCTTTTATATTCCTGCTCTTTTTTCTCTGGGATTAAAGCATGGGAGCATTTTATGGCACTATCTAACGTAAGCTTAATGGCATGGCATATAGAAAAGAGAATGCAAAGTGTGCACAGTGTGAGAAACGTGTCAATGCAGACTGTAAAGGCAAATGAGAAAGCTGATATGGTAAGCACATTCTCAGCAGAAAAATGTTTCAAGCTGCAAACACAGAAAGACAGAATGGTTTCAAGCTTCAGTGTTTTTCTGCTGCCTAAGGTAATGCTCGCTTCACACTGACTGCAGGTCCACTGCTTTCTGAACTTATTCCATCTCAAAGAATCATTCACAAATTCAATTTTGTGATAGAGATCTGACCATTCTGTGCAGCATTTTAAATACTTTGGTAAAATATTGGAATGTTTTGAAGGCAGCCTGAGGCACGGGAAAGCTAAACTGCTGAGGACCACCAAGTGAGTAAATTACAAATAAAATGTTATTTGTTCATATTTTTGTCACAGTTTAAATATTTAGGTAGGTAGGTTTATTGTCACAATATATGATGTGATATAAACAAGTTATAGAGTAAAATTTTGTTTTGTAACTCCCTTCTGCTACATAGCAGACAATATACATTAATACAGAATTGACTATGAAAAATGGTAAACAGAAATAAACTATATTCACTGGAGCAATGTTGAGGATGAATTAGAGTTTAAGAGTCTGATAGCTTGGGGGGGAAAGCTACTCTGGTCTGGTGGTGTGGCAGCAGAAACTTGTATATCTCTTCCCAGAAGGCAGCAGGGTGAATGGGCTGTGGCTGGTGTGTACTGTCCTTTAGTATCCTTTGGGCTCTGCAGACACCTCACCTCACCGATATCACTGATTCTTGGGAGATGGGTCCCAATGATCTTCTGAGCAGTTTTAATCACTCGCTGCAGAGCCCTCCAGTCCTGGGCCATGCACATCCCATGCCAGTTAGTGATGTTTCCAGTCAGGATGCTTTCTATTGCTCCTCTGTAAAAGCTGACAAGAACTTGTGTGGGAATTTGGCCTTCTTAAGCTTCCTCAAGACATACAGTCGTTTCTGAGCTTTCTTTACCAGCGTGGAGATGTGAGATGACCATGTCAGGTTCTCTGATGATTCCCGCTGATTCCCAGGAACCTGAAACTTAGCACCTGCTCCACCTCAGCACCACTGATGTAGACAGGAGAGTGTGTCTTTATCTCCTTCCTAAAATCAACGGTCAGCTCCTTGGTTTTGCTGACGTTGAGTAGTAAGTTGTTCTCTGAGCACCACACTGCAAGATTATCAATTTCCTCCCAAAATCCGGCTGATGATAGTGGTGTCAACCACAAACTTCACAACAGAGTTCTCTCTATGTCGGGGATGCAGTCGTTGGTGTACAGCGTGAACAGGAGGGGGCTGAGCACACAGCCCTGGGGGGCATCAGTGCTGAGCACTAGAGTGGAGAAGGTGTCTCTCAAAGCACTTCATCAGAATGGGGGTGAGAGCCACTGCAGACTTTTTAGGTACAGGAACGATGGTGTTAAGGTGTTATGGTGTCAACGATTTACTAAGTCAACACAAAAACAGTGACAAAGACAATGGTCATTAAGATATGAGTTAATTGTCAAAAAGATTTTAAAATAAAAATACACACTGCTTTCACAAACTTAACCTGTTTGGTGGGTCAGTTAGGGAGTGGGTGTTTCCTAACTGTAATAGCCAATGAAAATTAGAGGTTTAGGACAGAATGGAAACGCTTAATGTACTTTACTCTATCACAGACCAGATTTGTATCACTGCTGTCATATCACTGTTTAAAATTAATTTAATTCATATAAATGTGTATCGTAAGCAATATACGGACTTGTGTGGCGAATTTTCTCATCTGACTCAGTTTGTCTTGCTCATGGGTAGTTACAGCAGGGGGTTGCCAGGACTGGTAGCACTGTGCCATACAGATGCAGTTCAGTTAATCAGTCAGCCCTTTTTTGACTGTGCAAGATACAAGGTTGTTTATTTGTCATTATACAACACAAACAGCACAAGATTATATTATATTATATTAATATATATATAATATAACCAGTTTTATCCCATCGACTTGTCTGAGCTTTTAAAAACAGTATCACAAATGAGAGTGTCCTCCAGCCCACTTGATGTAATACCTACAAAGTTTTTACTGAAAGTAATAGATTCTGTTGGGCCCCATTTGATCTCTGTTTTCAACAGCTCCCTATCTACTGGTTGTGTCCCTAATTATTTTAAAACTGCTTGCGTGAACCCACTTTTAAAGAAACCTGGTTTAGATCCCTCCCTCCCACAAAATTTTAGACCAATTTCAAAACTGCCTTTTATTGCAAAGATTCTAGAAAGAATTGTGTCCAAACAGCTGCTCGCTGTACTGGAAAATAACAAATTATTTGAAAAGTTTCAGTCTGGTTTCAGGAAGTACCACAGCACTGAGATTGCCCTGCTTAAAGTCACCAATGACCTTTTAATGTCTGCTGATGAAGGTATGTGCTCAGTCCTGGTACTCCTGGACCTTAGTGCTGCTTTTGACACCATTGATCACAACATCATGTTAGACAGACTGAGGCACTGGGTGGGGATCTCTGGTACGGCCCTAGAATGGTTTCCATCCTACCTGTCAAATAGGAAGTTTTGCGTGTGTAAACAACTATGTCTCTTCGTTCCGTCCAGTTAAATATGGTGTGCCTCAGGGGTCGGTTTTAAGACCCATTTTGTTTTCCTTGTATCTGCTTCCCCTTGGACATATTATCCATAAACATGGTATTTCTTTTCATATTTATGCTGATGACACAAAACTGTACTTGCCCGTCAAATCCACAGACCCTGGAATGCTGAGTTCACTTAACAACTGCCTTTGTGAAGTTAAAAAATGGATGTCAAATAATTTCCTCCAGCTGAACTCAGACAAAACAGAAATCCTGGTTATTGGGTCCCAGCAGATGGCAAAACAAATACTGCCATCTGCTGGTTCCCTAGTAAATCATATTAAGCCTGTGGCAAAGAACCTTGGTGTTTGGTTTGATAGTAATTTAAATTTTGAGCAGCACACCACAAAGCTTGTTCAATCATGTTTTTATCAACTTGGAAATATTGCAAAAATTCAATCTACGTTAACTTTTAAGGACACCGAGACCATTTTACATGCCTTCATCTCATCACGTCTGGATTATTGCAACAGCCTTTTCACTTGTTTATCTACTGATCGACTCCAGACTGTCCAGAACTCAGCTGCCAGGCTTTTAACCAGAACAAAGAAATATGACCACATTACTCCTATTTTAGCTTCATTACACTGGCACCCAGTATGTTTTAGAATTGACTTTAAAATTCTATTGATCACTTTTAAAGCTCTTCATGGCCTCTCGCCTTGTTATATTTCTGACCTTTTAAGTCCCATACACACCAGCATGTACCTTGAGATCCTCGGGCAGAGGTCTGTTGTCTGTTCCAGAGTCTCGACTGAAAACTAAAGGGGACAGAGCATTTGCTGTCAGGGCCCCGAGGCTCTGGAACAGCCTGCCCAAGGAAATCAGGTCAGCTGTGTCAGTGAACTCTTACAGTGGGTACGGAAAGTATTCAGACCCCTTTAAATTTTTCACTCTTTGTTTCATTGCAGCCATTTTCCAAAAATCAAAAAAGTTCATTTTATTTCTCAGTAATGTACACTCAGCACCCCATCTTGACAGAAAAAAAACAGAAATGTAGAAATTTTAGCAAATTTATTAAAAAAGAAAAACTGAAATATCACATGGTCATAAGTATTCAGACCCTTTGCTCAGTATTTAGTAGAAGCACCCTTTTGATCTAATACAGCCATGAGTCGTTTTGGGAAAGATGCAACAAGTTTTTCACATCTGGATTTGGGTATCCTCTGCCATTCCTCCTTGCAGATCCTCTCCAGTTCTGTCTGGTTGGATGGTAAACGCTGGTGGACAGCCATTTTCAGGTCTCTCCAGAGATGCTCAATTGGGTTTAAGTCAGGGCTCTGGCTGGGCCATTCAAGAACAGCCACGGAGTTGTTGTGAAGCCACTTCTTCGTTATTTTAGCGGTGTGCTTAGGGTCATTGTCTTGTTGGAAGGTAAACCTTCGGCCCAGTCTGAGGTCCAGAGCACTCTGGAAAAGGTTTTCGTCCAGGATATCCCTGTACTTGGCCGCATTCATCTTTCCCTCGATTGCAACCAGTCGTCCTGTCCCTGCAGCTGAAAAACACCCCCACAGCATGATGCTGCCACCACCATGCTTCACTGTTGAGACTGTATTGGACAGGTGATGAGCAGTGCCTGGTTTTCTCCACACATACCGCTTAGAATTAAGGCCAAAAAGTTCTATCTTGGTCTCATCAGACCAGAGGATCTTATTTATCACCATCTTGGAGTCCTTCAGGTGTTTTTTAGCAAACTCCATGCGGGCTTTCATGTGTCTTGCACTGAGGAGACGCTTCCGTCGGGCCACTCTGCCATAAAGCCGCGACTGGTGGATTGCTGCAGTGATGGTTGACTTACTACAACTTTCTCCCATCTCCCGACTGCATCTCTGGAGCTCAGCCACAGTGACCTTTGGGTTCTTCTTTACCTCTCTCACCAAGGATCTTCTCCCCCGATAGCTCAGTTTGGCCGGACGGCCAGCTCTAGGAAGGGTTCTGGTTGTCCCAAACGTCTTCCATTTGAGGATTATGGAGGCCACTGTGCTCTTAGGAACCTTAAGTGCAGCAGAAATTTTTTTGTAACCTTGGCCAGATCTGTGCCTTGCCACAATTCTGTCTCTGAGCTCTTCAGGCAGTTCCTTTGACCTCATGATTCTCATTTGCTCTGACATGCACTGTGAGCTGTAAGGTCTTATATAGACAGGTGTGTGGCTTTCCTAATCAAGTCCAATCAGTATAATCAAACACAGCTGGACTCAAATGAAGGTGTAGAACCATCTCAAGGATGATCAGAAGAAATAGACAGCACCTGAGTTAAATATGAGTGTCACGGCAAAGGGTCTGAATACTTATGACCATGTGATATTTCAGTTTTTCTTTTTTAATAAATTTGCAAAAATTTCTACATTTCTGTTTATTTCTGTCAAGATGGGGTGCTGAGTGTACATTACTGAGAAATAAAATGAACTTTTTTGATTTTTGGAAAATGGCTGCAATGAAACAAAGAGTGAAAAATTTAAAGGGGTCTGAATACTTTCCGTACCCACTGTAGGTCCCTTCTTAAAACATACTTTTATAGGTGAGCCTTTCCTGATCTTATTTGACTTTATTTTATCCCTTTTATTTTATTCTATTTTACTAATTTTATATTTATCTTAAAAGTTTATTTTAGTCTTTTCTTTTCTTTATCTTGTATTGTTTTTGTATTATTGTTTTTTGGATATTATTGTTTTTTGGGTATTATTGTCTTTACACTTGTTAAAGCACTTTGTAACTTGTTTTTGAAAAGTGCTCTACAAATAAAGATTATTATTATTATTATTATATGGTAACAGTTACATGTACAGTTATTTAATATACATATACTGTATACAGACACATATACAGCTAGAACATTCCAAAGCGGGGCCATATTTTCAAATTGACTATTACCTACAACGGGCACAAATACATTGCAGCCACTGCAGCCAGTTCAGCTGCGGGCTGATGCATCTGTTGCAAAGATTCAAAAATATTGTACGTACTAGTAATTTCCACACCAGAATATGTGAAAATAGAGCCCAGGTTTAAATTTATGAGAGGTCACCACTGTTCACCGTGGCTCTAGATAACCTGGGACCTGCCATGTATTTTGTCAAACTGCTCATTCTTGAAACGTGTGGGTGTTTTTCTTCGAGTGGACTTAAAATTCAAAATTAGACTCAGAATTGAATTTGCACAGAAACAATGGATCTGCACTCCACTGTAGCTCCGTTAGTCAACTGTTTTTACAGAAAATTCTTGCTTTATGCGTAGCTTTTCCATCGGACATTTGGTTCTTATGTCTTCTTAGGTCTCTTGGTACACCTGACACTTTGCACCATGCTGTTACTCTGCAATGCTTTGTTTATCATCATCACAGATTTGGCGCTGTCTGAGCTGATGGATGTGTCCTGCAGGAGTCCTGTTCTCTCTAACAGCCAACACATCGATAAACACCACTGCATTTTAAAACAAGGACATCTTGATTGATTCATTTCCCTGCAGTTGCCTTCATTTGTAATTACTGTTATATTTTTATGTCGTTGCCACAACCTGCTCCCCCACAGGCTGATGGATAATACATCTCTATCTGTGCTTGCACTGGCTTAATTGTGTCTCTGTAATGCAAAGTACAAAGTTTATTAAAGGCTGAGTTTCCTGGGAGCGATAAAGGGCTGCCTCCACTCTGTCAGTTTTATGAGTGTTAGGAGTATCGTTAGAGTATATAATCTTCATGGAGAACTGTTGTTACTCTTTACTTTCATCAACTTTGTCTTCAATACTCTATCATAATTTAACATCTATATTCCAGTTTAGTCTCTGAATGATTGAGAAAGGTGTGTTTAAAAATGGTCTCTTGCTTGGCAGGGACTAATTGTTTAAGTAATCCTAGTAAAAACAATAAAAAATCACAGATCTTATCATGCCATGTTTGGAAACATGAGGAATCACAAGAACATTGGTAGAGAAGATCTGTGGCAGCACTGAAAGAAGTAGTCTATTCACTTCGCTTTGTTAGTGAAAAGTTGAAAAGCAGATGGCTTTAACGTGCAGAATACAGGCTAAAAAGTGAATTTTCAGTCACTAATGACTTAGTGATTGCTGAGCTCATGCTATTAATCCCCTGGTGATGTATTGTAGTCATTTTGTGCTGTGTTAAAGTACAAATCTCTTCTCATTTAAACTTTAACTTTTTTATCTTTTGGTTTTTGTGTTACTTCTCCCATCCTCCATTTCCCCCTACATATTCTTATTCATTTCTCCCATTTAAAGTATTCCTGTGGTCCTTCACCTCATTCCCACTGGGTCTATGCTTTAGGAAGATGAATGACCTGTATGTGATGTACGATCCTGCAGGTGAGAGCACAGCCAAGAAAACTCTGACTTTGCTGAATGAGAATCTAAGAGATTATAGGCCTCAGAACAGAGAATGCCAGGCCTCTCACTACACACTGTGGGGGTTTGGGCTGGTGGGGGTGGTATCATCACTCCTAAATCTGCCATGGCCCTAAAAACTGATGTTCACCTTTCTGTCATTTGTTCTATTTGACCTATAAGCACAGACAAGGTCAATCTGGCTTGTCAGCCCTTCCTCCATGCTCTGGATTGTTCTCCTTGCCACTTCAGGATCCCAGAGTGGCTGGATGACGCTTTGTGCCCTCCCAATGCATCATGGCTCCCCCTCACGCTGCACCTGCATCTGCACAGTGTTCGTCTTCATGTGTGTTTGCGTGTCTCTGGGCGATGAAGAGGGGGAAACTTCTGTCTGTGTGCGTGCTGAAGTGCGTAATTGCCAGGCACAAAAGGCCACTAATTTCTGCACTAAGACAGCCACTTGCTCAGCCCAGCAGCTTCTTAAAATGCCCTGCTGTTTTCAGTTTGACCTACAACTCTCAAGTCAGTGTCTCCCTGCCTTCCTTTCCTTCCTCCTTGTGAATAATTACAGACTTCATTCTCACTTGTGTATTTAATCGCTTAATCCTTCCATTTATTCGTAGATCCAACACGCAAAGTGAGAAACAGTAAGAATTAAAATCATTTTGTCGAACACTGAGCCATGATTGACGATATTTGGTCAGAGCAATCTGGAGGAGATGATGTTGGACATCCAATGGACTGGAGAGCCCGTCAGGCAGTGTGGGCTATCAGAGCAAGGATGTGCCCAGATGGCAATAAATCCCACCAAATCCTGTTGCCCTCTGTCAATTATGAGCTATAATCCTTTTCTTTTCTGAATCAAATGGGCTCCCAGCACAGCTCACTCACTGGAGTACCTAGCTCAGGCACTGGTTACCATTGCAAAAAGAGGTGGTGATAGAGAGAAAGATCAGCTGCCATAATTACCAATAGGTTAAAGGTCTGTGATAGCACAAGGACCTGGCAGCTTTAAAGTCCCACACAAAAGATAAGAAAAGTACTGATAAGCTTATTCTTCTCAAAATCTTTTTTTATACCCAGCAACCTTCTTAAAATCTTAATTCAATATACAGTAGTCATTAAAATAATGGACTGACTTCACAGGATTTCATGCTTAGCTTTCCCAGGCCTCTTGCATGAAGAGACTGCCCAGGCAAAAAAGAGGAAAAATGGTGAGTTTACTATTAAAGAGAAACACAGGCACACATATTTGGCTTTCAGTGTGTGTACAGGCAGGGCATTTTTGCATAGCTCTGTTTTACGTAATTAAAATTTTACAAATATAAACAATTTTATGCATTAGCAAATTATTATTTTATTATTATATATTTTGGGGTGATAAATATGAAATTTAAATTCCATTTTTTGGACAAATATATATGGACACACTGCCCCCCTGTACTTTTGCTGTGGAACTGTTTTTTTTGTTGTTTTCTGCTGGCATCTTACGCTCCATCCACACTACTACATTTTCGTTTTAAAAATACAGACCTTTTGCTACGTTTGCACCTCCAGACTAAAACAGCAAATCTGAAGACCTAAAATGGAGAAGTTTGAAAACGTTGCTGAACCCGTTTTCGTTTTAAAACCCCAGGGTAGCGTATTAATGCAGACAGGCAAAAACCGAGGACTTTAGAAACGATGACACAGACATTCACATTTGGCTTCCTGATTGTGTCTTATCAGTCATGCAAGGCAAAAACACGATGCTACTGACAGTGTTTATATTTTGTTTTTGTTTTTTTATGTTTTGTAATGTGCCAATAACACTTATCCACTTGTACTGTGCATGTCCGCGTATTTGCTTTGCGACAACTCAGACAACCAGTCTGTTTTCTGGTGCCTTAGTCTCTTTGTATTCCCATGTGTCTTTCAGTAACAGCTGAACCTTGTTGTTGGTCCATGCAAAAAAATCTCTGGTGTGGTTCTTCTCCATTGCTATTCTTTGTTCGTCTTAGTATTACTTTGTTCTTTCGCCAAATATTCTGCAACTCCAAAGTCGACAATCTGCTTCCTGTTTACACCGGCACGCAAATGCCCAGTGCACCTGAACGGCCACTAGATTTGCGTTTTCAGTCGTTTTAATACAGCCAGAGATCAAATCCGATACGCAGCTAAAACGCTGCTGTGGATGGAGATCTTGTTTTTAAACAGAAACGTAGTAGGCTGTAACAACTAAGGAAAGTAGGCAACTGCCTATGGGCCCTTAGGGACCCTGAAGTTCACCTCTTAACATTCCAAGTAAGGTCCTGGCGGCAGCTTTCGGTATGTGCACACAACTGCTATGTTAACTTTATACTCATATGATACACCATTTGAAAGCTAAAATCCTCATGATTCGACCAATGCAAACCATTTCAAGATACAATCACCACACACAATCAGCGCTTCTGTCAGACCAACCAGTACAATCAAAATTGACGCGACTCACCTATGAAGCCTCATAGTAATCCATCGATCGATTATATTCCAACAAAAATGGTCTTTTTACGCTGTCAAAGGTCCAGATGATCCAAACACATTATTCCCTCAATAAATCCCCAGGGACTGCTGCGTTTCATATTTGCCAGCAGACGTGGCTTGTACGTCATTATAACCGTAATAACTATGATTTGAATGTAAAAAACTACAATAGCGTGTATTTAAATTAGACGCTGAACTCTGACCTTTCGCGTGACACCAAATCCGACCCAAGAGGAGCTTCCGTTTCACAGCCTACAATAGCCAACAAGAGCCTGCGCTGTAAGGAAGGGCCAGCCCCTGTTATTTCGTGGGTAGGCTGAACCAATTCCAACCAATTGTTACCGATAGCCAATAAAAATCTGAAAATAACGAATTCCAGCTTTAAGTAGGAAGTTCATGATCTACCAGCAAAAAAACACCGGCACTACCGGCATTGCAGCAGTAGCTGCCTGCTGCCAGGGGGCGGTGCTGTTTTAGAAAAAATACGCTAAGACATACACTCAGAAAAACCTGTGTAAAATAGTAATTTTCATGGTATTGGTATGAAATTTAAACTAAGACTAGGTATTGCTTTATCCTGTGGTCTTACAGTGTTTTCCAGCTAATAAGTCCCAGCTATAGTTGTCTGCATGCATTTGTTAGCAAGCATTTTCAAGCGAAAATGAAAAATACATTAGTTTTAGTGTTAGCAGTGTAAGTTAGCACTTACAATCATTCTGACTTTTGGGTTAGACACTCCAGAGTGTTATCTTTCAGAGAAGCCCAAAACCATACATATACTCCACATGATTCAGGAACTACATTCATTTTACTTTGGATATGCCCTGAATAGGTGATATGCATGAATTTTACAGGAATGTTAAGAGGTTATGGGTACAAAAAAAGCTAGGTCCATTGTGTGTTTAAAGGTTTTACTAGTTTTTCCAGTTTGATGTGGACCATTCAACATCAGACTGTTTGAATTTGTATACTGTTGAATTATTTGCCATGTTTATGGTACAATATTAATATGTAGTGAATCTGTCAAAATCGGAGGGGTATGCAACAGTGTGGAGAAAGGTAAATCAATAGTGGCAACAGCAATGGGTTAAACAACACAAGGTAGACATTGGTACTCAATCCAAAATACACTCAGTATTTTAACCTCTTGATGCCTGAATTTATTTACAATAAAAAATATTTTATCTTTTTTGTTCTGTTTTCCTTTGCTTTCAGGTTTATGTTAAATTAAGTTGAAATAGTTAATTTTTCTATAGAAGATAGAAAAGATATTAATTCTGGCAGGCATAAACGAGAAATCAGTGCTTGCAAAATGTTCCCAGGTACGTATCGAATATGCACAAACAGGCATTTTGGGAATACAAACGTTATCTTAGCTGCAGTCTGAAAGGAAGAGGTGTGATGCGAATTTGCGACAATCGCCGTTAAGGGTTAAGAAGTAGTGGAACAAAGCAGAAAGTTCCAACAAGGAGGTGATTTAGTTTTTAAGGACGACTCAACTGGAAAGATAGCTTTAAAATGAATGGATGCTGAGGAGGGATGAGGGGATGAAGAGTGACAGATGATGGGGTTAAAAATGAATGGAAACTGAGGATGAATAAAACCTGAAGGTGGCAGTAATTTAACATTGTGGAGACTAACCTCAAAGAAAAAGAATAAGAAGAAGGGTTCAATAAAACGTGGGTGGAATGATGGTGGAATCTTTTTTGGCCAGGGTGTCGGCCAAATGGTGAAACGGTTTGCTTTATGTCAGAGCGTTGGAAATGGCTGTCTCCCTGAAACACTCC